TTATCAATCAGGAGTCAAATGATGCAGAAGAGGAACAGAGAGTTCCTAGTGAGGGATCATTGGAAGCAGGACAGCTTTGCTAATTAGATTCCTTTTACTTTATTTTTGCACATCAATAGAATTCTGCATACAAATGCAGTTGCACCGAGTGTGTCAAACAGTACAAATTGTTGTTAGAGACATTAATCAAGGGCATGGGAGAGCAGCTCTGGGAGAGAAGATTCCCCTGCCTTACATAAGCTTTGATCTGCAGCCTCGTCTCCTTCATGTGCACTTCTGATCTCAGGAGAAACGAAATTTGCCATCCTCTGGCCCTGGCAATTTCCTTACAGTGTCAGATGCCGTGGCTAAAGTCCTGGATAAAATAAAAAAGTACTTTTGTGTCACCCTTTGAGAGCTTGCCTTCCCTCTGCCCCCAAAAAAGACCCTTGGTGCAATTAGGAAGAAAGAAATTAGAATCTGCATGCAACTTAAACATCTTATCTTCATTCATTCTATCTCATATATCTCATTATATCTCCATTCATCCTTAAAAATCTTCTTTGTACATCAGACTCTCATCTCTAAGGAGTGCCAGAAGCCTCCACAGCCTTTCATGTTTTGGGAAATAATTGCACTGAAGGGAATTAACATGCATTTATAGGGTGGTGAAACAAAAATAAATGATATTGAGTTTTATTTTGTTTTTCTAGCTTAACACCTTGATGTGTGGATGCTTGTGCTTTTTCACAGTGCAGTCCCTCTCGGGAGTCCCTGTGCCTCCTCCTTGCACCCTCTGCTGCAGGGGCATTGACTTTGCCTGCAGCTCTGATTCCATTTCTTTCCTGGAGGGTGCACAGCAGATCCTCAGTCAAAGCCCTGGGGTTACAGAAAGAAAAGAAACACGAGCCTTGTGGTCAGGGTACCAGCCTGAAACCTGGATTTTTATACACTTTGTCAGACTTGTTTTGTTATAGTACTCGAGGCCCCTTAGGGGATGGTTGGCAAAAGGTATTTTTCCCTCTTAATTACCTTTTGAAATCCAAGGGAGACTGCATGTCTAAATATCCACGGGAGTCCTGTCCTGGATGTGTTTGTTTGCAGTCTGCAGAGGTGAGATCTCTATCTCAGACAGAAAAGGTGGTGCTCTGTCTGAACTTTCTTCCCTGATAAAGATCTTGTTTAGTACATAACCTTCTTTTCCTTATATGCATATATATATATTTATTTTCTTTTTTATATCTATACACACACAGAGGTCTATAGGGGAACATTTATATAATATGTACTAAATATTATTTTGCTTCTTCATGTAGTGCTTTTAAGATAGAAAAACATTTTATTCTTAAGTGACATATTTTCTCTGTTTTGCATAACCCATTGATTTTCCATTCAGTCAATGAATTTTTGTTAGGACTGGGCCATAAGCATACATGTAGGCTGCAGAAAGGTGTTGGTGTTTAGCCTGGAGTTTGTGGTTGCTGTGCTAAGGCCTTTCCTCACCATCCTTGCAGCTTATGTCTGTGATTATGCTATTTATCACACTATTTATGATTAATAAAATGCTGGTCCCTTGGCTGCTTACACCAGCCATGTTAAACCTGGGTGGATGGATGGATCTGAACCACAGCCATTGGCAGGTAGACACCAGCTTGCTAACACACAACTTAAGGGAAGAAACAAACAATTTCTGTATGGTTGAAAGAGGACAGATAATAAGGTAAGGAAGTTCTGGGTGAAATGGTCCCTAAGCATTCTTTGCCTGCCTTACAGACATTTGTCATGTGCCTTGAGATAATTTATATAGAGATCACAAAATCCTTCACAACTCTTTTCAAATTTCCCTCCAAACTGAGAACTTCAGTGCCAATTGTTTACTGTGTCATGTCTCTTAACATTCTTCAGAATTCTTTGCTCAGTAACAGTCTCTCTGATTTGTCATTAAGTTTAGTGATTGTTTTTTTTCAATTAAAACATAATGTAAAATTATTGCCCAATTAGGAAGCATTATTGTGTGTTTATAAGCATCCCTGAATGTACTTACCCAGTGGCAGCATGCAGATGTCTGCTGGAATTTAATTTCTCTGCAGCACATTGGGGGTGGGGACAGAAGAGAAGTAGCCAGAAAATGAGAGTTGCTGCAGTAAATACCAGGCTTCTCCCAGTGACCTGCACCGACTGCAGAGCTTATTGCATCTAATGTGAGCATAAAACATCTGTCCAGCAGTGCTGTTCTCTGGCTGCTGTGTGTCCGGACAGCAAATCAATCTCTCTTGGCTGATTGTTGCCTGTTGTGGGGAGTCACAGGGAAAAGGGGGTGCCACATGTTAGAATTTACTGTAAGAAAGATGTGAAATACCTGCAGGGTTTCAGTGCAGATGAAGCAGTGGCAGCCGTGCTTCCCCTGTGTGAGTGACCCTGCAGGGCTCCAGAGGCACAGGGATGCTGCAGCCTGTACAAGGAGCAGGGATGATGGACAAGGTGTTCCAGGAAGATAAATTTAGAGCTCTCTGAGGCTGTTTTTTTAATCTGGGGGTTCCTACAAAGCCAGTCTGTGCTGTCAGGGGGTGACACCGTGTGCTAAGGCAGAGCTGGGGCTGAGCCCTGTGCTCTGAATGGAGCAAATTCCCTTTGGAGCCCCTGGCTCTGGGCTGGCCAGGCTGAATCCGGGGCTCTGCCTCCAGCAGCTCCTCTTCCCTTTGCTTTCAGCTGTTGGCAGCAGGGCTGGCACTTCCCTGGGCTGCCTTTTACCCCCAGAAAAGGCTTTTGTGCATCAGCCCCAGAGCTGCAGCGTGGTGGCCATGAGTGGTGGCTTGGGGACACTCCCCAGCACTGGCCAGTGTGTGTAACACAGCAATTCCTTGGCTGCCTCCCCCAGAGCCTGACAGCTGGCTAGTGGGAGCCTCTGGATGGTGGCCAGAGTCACAGCTACACGTGCAAAGCTGTCTGAGATTGCAGCATTCTTTTATCTGCTTTGCAGGCTCTGTACTGTTGGCTGCAGCAAAAAAAAAAAAAAAAAAAAAGCTTGTCAGGGGAGGTTTTTTTTTACAATCTAAGTGACATCTTATTTGTTTGGGGCTTTTTTTTCCCCTTTTTTTTTTAATGTGTTGTTTCTGGAGCGGGTCCTGGCAGGGTCAGCCACCAGCCTGACAGTTCCTTTGTGCCAATGCTTTTGAATCTCTGCCTGTGTCAGTCTATTTCCTAGGGAATTAGCCAAGATTATTCACACCTCAGATAAAATTTATTTATTCTATTAGCAGCAACTTCAGCATATCCAATTTTCAGCACTCGGTGAAGACAAAAATTTTGCTTTTTTGCTAGAAGGCCTTTGCCTGTGTTTCCATGTGTGGATCTTGTTTCCATGGCATCAGCTGATAGGGCTGGGAAGCACAGGGAGCACCAGCCAATAAATCAGCATTAGGAGCCAGCCCTGCTGCTGTGTAGGGCTGGGTCTTGTGGTGAGGATGGTGATGTGGGATATGGCAGTGATTTATGTATTTTAATGGAGATTTTCCTGCCTGCAGTGCTGGGGGATAAAAGACTCGATGCAGTCCTGCTCGGGCTCTTGCAAAGGCTTTTCCTGCTGCTTTGTCTTCATTTTTCTGAAGATGAGGCCATGCTGGAATGTGCTATGACTTGAATTCTTCTCTCACCCTGTTTTCCCAAATGCTTGAATGTGTTGTCTAAGCACCTTTATTCTAGAGAGTCTTTTTCTTCTTCCCTGCCTTTGTTGTGCTGGGGTGGCTTTGCCCCAGTGCAGCAGTTGTGACAGGGGACATGTGAGCAGTAGTGGTTGTGGTGTTCAGTTGTGACCCAGGAGCTCAGGCTCTCAGTGTGCCAGTCCTGGCTGCCTGTTCTGCAGTGAATACTCAGCACAGTGAGCTGAGCACGGGGCCTGCTTTATTAACTTCTCTGGGTTTATGTTCTGCACACATGGAGGTGATTTGAGCTGTTTCTCTGGCTGTAAAAGCTATAAAGTTATGCATGCACAAAACCATATAAACTTTTGATGCTATGGCCTTCTATTTTGTAATATAATTGAGCATATACTCCTGCATTATGTTTTGCTATTGCAAATATACTTTAAGAAAAATGTGCTTATTAATTTTCTCCAGCTCAGTAGTGGTATAATGGGCAAGTAGTTTCAAGACAATGAGCTGGATACAGGATTTTGAAGGAGTTGCTTTTATTTAAATTAAAAACTTAAGGACACTCAGCAGACCTTGTGTGAAATCTGTTACATCAGACAATTATGCTGAGAGTGACCTTGCAAAAGAAATTCAGTGGGAAAGAAAAGCCCCTACAGAAAGGACAGGGGACTGCTCTTGGTGCCTGTGTGACCATCATTGATGGACAGCTTACAAAAACTCAGTACACTAAACAACTTAAACATCTGACATGTTCACAGCAAGAAGGGTGAAAACTATGTGAACTTTAAGTTTGCTTTGAAAAGGAATTGGTGAGTAATTCCCATCATTAATGAGTTAACAGAAGGGTTGAGTCCTAGGGTAGTTTTTCTCCATTCTAGGCAAATGACTGTAGGGATCTTACCATGCCAGCTTTAGCACACTGAGCCTCTATTCTTTCCTCAGGGCTCAGCTGGAAAAGCAGAACAGATCAGAGATTTGGGATCTTCATCACCCTTTGATTCCCAGCTCTCCCTGTGCAGCTTAATCTGTGTTTGCTCTGTGCCTCTCCTTGGATCCAGTGGGTGTTGTCAAGGGTGTGATGTTTTGGCAGAATCGTGGCCAGTCTTGCTTGAAAGGGTTGAAATGTCTGCATTTTGAAAAGAAAATGCCTCTTTACTCAAAAACCTAGCAAACATGCATGCCTGCTGCTAAGCCCCTAAGTGAGGCTACAAATGAAATTGCATTTAAGAGTGACAACACTTCAACCTTGATTTTGCATTCTACAAACTGTAGTTGTTTGTTTCAGGTTAATTTTTAATTTCCTGTTGTAATTGTGACTGTCTTCCTACTGGTAAGGAGGTTCTGATTTAGTCATTCATGTTTCTATTTCAGATCGCATGTGGCTCAGAGCATAATCTGGCAATAGTTGGTAAGTAGCTCGATTTTATAACAAATCCTCTCACCTTTTTTTCATTTTTATTAGCACAAGATGAAAGAAAAACGTGCACATCACACATACTGAATGCTTATGGGCAGCTGAAAGGAGGGAAGTACCATACAGATGTAAAGAGGAGGAGAATCTGGTGACAGTAAACGGTGGTGATGAAATTGTGGCCTCCTAGACCAGCCCTGTGAGGAGACACAGGGCTGGATGGATGTAACAGGAAAATCATTTACAAAGTGCTGCAGCTGTTTTATGTTGGAGCCCTTGCAACAATCCAGGCTGCAGATTCAGAATAACATCTAAGCTCGACACTGGTCAAAAGTATCTTTGTTTAACAAGATGGAAATTATTAACATGGAAATTATTGCTGAAAAAAGGTCCTGGGTCTTTTGTTGTTCAAAGCTTGGAAAAATCTTCAAAATGTCAGTCAGTGGTAGGCAGGTTCCTTAGTGCATTTTAGCATAATGCAACTGTAGTAATAATGATGGAAGTACTAGGAAGCTAATGTCAGTGGAGAAATTGAATTTTGTGTACTAATTCCAGGAACAATCAGATTCTTGCTTTCATGTGATGAGTTGATAACTGAAGTTTGATACATGATTGCTATTACATCTAATTACTTGTTTAGGAACATTTTTAACTGTAGATTTTCGAGTGCTTTATAAAGGAGGTCAGCATAATTATCCCCATTAATAGGCAGGGCAAGACAGATGAAGAAAGGAATTCTGTGCTAATGAGAGCTGGAAATGAAGCAGCACTCCATCCACGTAGATGTTTTTGATTGCTGTGACTGATGTGTTGAGATGTCAAGGAAAGAATTTCCTTAATTTTCTCAAGTGTGGTTTGACAGAGGTAGAGAAAAGCAGCTATTTGATATTCAACCTGCTTGCCATGTTCTGAGTTTTTAGGTTTTAAGTGGTCACACAAGTGGCATTTTCTGTATTTCCATATCTGCTGTAGTAGATTTCCTAATTATCCTTCTCCAGTTAAACCTTGTAGCGAACTTACGAAGTTCTGTTAAGTTTATAGCTGGGTTTAAGCAAAGACTTTTCCTTTTGCCTCCTCCCTGCTTGTTCAGTGTCACATGCCTGTATTAATTGTCAGGCTGCTGCTTCTGAATGTCGACTGAAGAGCAATCTTGTTTCTTGCTGAATTGATGAAGTAAAAATGTACTGCTGGCAGATTCCTCCAGTGTGCATGAAAGCACAGCACTGAGTTTGAACAACCTTCTCCCTGTTTATGTCCTTTTAAACTTTCTGCCTTCTAGGCAGAAATCTCTGGGAAAAAAATGGGTTGGGGAAAGAAATTCTAGAAGAAAGTTACAATAAACGAAGAACTTTTCATATGCAAAGGACACCATATGCCTATCTAAGCTGTGTGCTGCACTCATTGAATTCAATGGGGAAATTATCAGTGCTGGAAGCCAGTCAATTTTATTTTAAGGACAACATAAATGTGATGTTGCAAATTTTTTGAACTAAAGAACTGTGATACAATTTTCCCCGAATTGAATTTTACATATGCTTTTAAAAGGTTGACTTTTTAGAACATTCTTTGGTAGGATTTCTCTGATCACTGGTCACTCTTGGTTCTAAGCTGTCAGCTGTTACAGGCACTTAAATCTTTTAATCACAGAGATTTCCATGAATATGTCTACTTGATTGTACCCTTTTCTAATAACTTAGCATTTAAGCAGAGTTCCTTTATAACAACTATATCAGCCATGTCTTTCTTAATTAGTAAATGCTTGAGTGATTGACTTTTAAATTGGAATACTGCAGTATGACAGGTAAACTGAAAAGCCTCTAACAGTACAATATTCCCATCAGTATTTCTGGCTGTATATACAAATGTGCTTGTGCTTTGTTTGTTGCATCATCTTTTAAGTAGAAACATTTTTAGGATGGAGAGGCTGGATTTATGATTCATTCCACAAATGCTGAATAGTGTTCCAATCATCTTGCTGGTGATACAAGCTGCTTGATTTGTAAGGCTAGCAGTTCGGTTTTTTCATGTTGCTTTATATAGTCTGCATCCATTTGTACAGTTCAGTTATCTGAATTCTCTCTTCTTGCTTTCCTCTACTGAAGTCAGTGCAAGATTTATCAAATTTATCACTGTGATGACACTTTTTTTTCGTGGCTATATTGGTAGTATTTTAGTTTTCGTTTGATCATGAGGTAAATGTTTGATATAAAGGAGAATGAGATGTGAGTTGTCTCGAAATGTACCTGCTTTTCTAAACTTAATGAGTAAAAAGTTGCTGGTAGTACATGAAGAAGTGTAAACATCTTCACTCCTAGTCCTTGGTGAAAACACATTTTTATCTTCATTTTGGGATGTACTATGATACTAATTCTAAAATTTGTAAGTGTTGTAATATTTTTTTATGTTTGTATGACTTTTCACTTGAGAACAAAGATCCTTGCCTAGTAAGAAGAGGCCTTGCACTTTTCACCTCAATTGTAAGTTAATCATCTTAGGGCCAGCCTATTTTTGTACTGAAAGAAATAGTAGTTATTTAATAAATGTTGTGTAACATATCTGAAAAACACCTTGCTACACTGGGAGCTGTGTGTATTTACTGAGCACCACGAAGGTGGCTTTTCTACCTGAATGTGACAGCTGCAAAGTTAGTGCTGAACTCTGTGGTACTGAGGCAGTCTTTGAATGACTGAAATGCATAATTGAACTAAATCACTGTGACAAAACTGGGCTTTTTCCAGCTTTGGGAGTCTACAGAGTTTTCAACACTGAAAAGGTAAGAAGGTTTGCTTCTTACCCTGAAAAGCCTGTGTATAAAAACAGTATTTATGGAGAAGGCTCTTACCAGATTCCTACTCACTCCCCACTAAGACTTTGATGCTCCCTTTTAGAAAAAGAGAATAGTTATCCTTTAAGAGAACACATAGCCCATGCAATGCTGCAACTTAAATAATCAAGCAATATTAACTGTGCAGAAATAGAGATGCTGTTAAATGCAGCAATGCCTTGACTGTGCTGCAGCCACAGGGCACAGGACAGAATGGTGTGAAGAACCTCCAAATGCAAATGTCTTATTTTAGGAAAAATTAAACCATGGAATTTTATTCAAGCCTCCTGGAGGTACTTGAACTCTGCCCCCAGAAATCATTACAAGGATGACAGTTCTATAGTCTGTCTCCCCAAAGCTTTGGCAATGCATTATATCCCTTTTTTGTCTTGCTTTTAGTAATTTTCTCAACCTATATAAACTAATGGAAATCTTTTAAAAAAGATACTGGAGGATATGTAGGGAGAAGTGCTTGTTTTAAAAGCTAATTAGTTTCTGTTGAAGTCCAGCTTTAAAGGAGCCTTCAAAGGGGAATTTGTTTGTTGGGAAGAGAAAGACGTGGATCTTTCAAGTTAACATTTTCTGGTGTGGTGTTTTGAAGGCAATAAGTGTTGGGGCATGTGGCTACTTCACATAGTGCAAAAAGCTTTTTCTTGCACTTTCACAGTCAGCTCAGTGAATTCTGGCTTCTGCTCCTTTTCTTGCATGGAGGAGTTAAAAGCTCCTTGAGGGAGGTGGTCCCCAGAGCCTGGGGACCCTGCAGAGGGGTCACAGCTCAGAGGCACTGGAGTGCCAAGGTGGGCACAGGCAGGGATGGGGCTGGGTGATCAGTGTCATTCTTACTCATTTCATACTTGTCTCTGTCTCCTTTGGATTTTCCCTATTCACTTTATTTACTTAGCACTGCCTTCCCCCATGGTTAATGGTGGTGGGGAGGGCACCATGTAATTAATGTTAAAACAGTAAAAATGAACTCCAAAGGCCCGAGCTGGCCCCCCAGCCATAAGTGGGGTTTGCACATGGAAGTACAAGTGACATAGGAGGAGATCAGGCCTGGCTGCTCACACTGAGTTTGTGTGTTCAGTGCAACAGCATCCTCATGAAACATTTTTAAAATCACTTCTCTACTTTCTGTTAAATCACAAGCCCTTCAAGAAGAGGGCTAGTTTTATCTCCCATTGCCTTTTCTATTTTGTGTGAATTAGAACAAGCTTCAGGATTTTGTCTTCTGTGGTTCGTGTGCAATCACAGCTGTAAATATCACAACATGGGCATTCACATCCCTCTGAAGCTGCAGCTGGAGAGAGAAAACCAATACTAAATTAATGGAACAATTGTCTTTGTAGAGGAAATTAGGATAAAGCACCCTTCCACTCAAATGGTAGCTCATGCCTCAAATGATCTGAATTAAAGTATGCAATAGTGTTAGAGGGGCAGTAAAAGAGCTTTACTCCATGCTCTGTTGAGATTTTCTTTTTATATTCCTTTCCTGGAAGAACATATCAATTATGAGCTGGAAAACAAATGTGATCAAAGCTTAGGGAGGTGGTGATACACATCCTAAAGTGGTGGTGGTGTCAATGCCATCCCAAACACTTTGGTTCCACGTTTCTGAATCAGGAAGCTGAAGGGTTCCTGCGTGTGAGCTGCTGCCTCTTAATTAGCAGGGTTTGATACTTTTAGTAAAGTTCCACAATTCCCTGGGTTATTGTATAAAGCATCAGTGGAGGGAGGGCTGTCAGAGATGAGGAAAGCTGTGTTTCCCTGGCAGAGGGAGCAGCAATGGGAGGGGAGCTGTGCAGCCGATGGACCGAGCCCTGCCTTCTGCTGCAGAATTATCCAGATGTTCACAGCTGCCCTGTGAAGCAGCAATAGAGTCATGAGTGTGACATTCTGTCCCGGGGGACTCAGCAGTCTGTTGTGAGGAGGAAAATCAGCAATTCTTTGTCTTGCTGGAGCGCCTGGGGGAATCTCCAGCGTACACAGTGGAGGGCACTGGTGCTCAGCAAGGAGCCTGAGTCTGCTGGGCTGCTGCTGTATTTGTTATGCATGAAGATGGCAGTGCAGCCAGGGCCGTGCTGTACAGGGCTCCTGGCAGAGCAGCACGGAGTCATGCTGCAGCACGATGTCTCTGCCTTGCAGCACTAATCACATTCCCTGCTTGTTAAAGGGCACCTGGCAGGACTCGGAGTAACCAGCACTGTTGTCATTTCCACGCGGGTTATATGTCGGCCTTCTAAATTTATTCCCTGGCAGAACCATTTCCTG